AACATATATAAAGTAAATTATAAAACTTTGATGAAAGAAATAAATAAATGGAGAAATATTCCTTGTTCATAGATAGAAAGACAATACTGTGAAGATGTCAAGTCTTCCAAGGTTTATTGATTGATTCAAAGTAATTCAAATTAAAATTCCAGCAAGTTATTTTGTGGCTATTGACAAACTGATTCTTAAGTTTATATGGAGAGGCAGAAGACCCAGAATAGCCAACACTATTATTGAAGGAGAAGAAAGAAGTTGGAGGACTAACATTATCCAGCTTCATGATTTACTATAAAGCTATAGTTAACAAGACAGTGTCGTATTGGCAAAAAGAATAGACAAATAGATCAATGGAACAGAATAGAGAGCCCAGATATACACCTGCATAAATATAGTTGACTGATCTTTGACAAAGGAACAAATTCAATACAATGAAGAAAATATAGGCTTTTCAATTAATGGTGCTAAAATAACTGGACATCACATGCACAAAATAAATCTATATGCAGACTTTACACTCTTCATAAAAATGAACTCCAATTTGATCACAGACCAAAATGTAAAATGAAAAATTATAAAACTCATAGTATATAACATAGAAGAAAGTCTAGGTGATCTTGTGGTTGGCAATGACTTTTTAGATACAACATCAAGGGCACAACCCATGAAAGAAAGAATTGATAAAATGGACTTCACTAAAACTAAGATTTTCTGCTCTGTGAAAGACACTATCGAGGAAACAAAAAGACAAGCCAAATATTTGCAAAAGATATCTGATAAGGGTATTCTGTCTAAAATATACAAAAAAGTCTTAAAACTCAACAATAAGAAAATAATCTGATTTTAAAATGGGCCCAAAACCTTTACAAAAACTTCACCAAAGAACATATAGAGATGGCAAATACACATATGCAAAGATATCTAGCATCAGATATCATCTGAGAAATCCAAATTAAAGCAACGAGATACCACTAAACACCAGTTAGAATGCCAAAATCCCAAACACTGACAACACCAAATGCTGGCAAGAATTTGGAGCAACAGAACTTTCATTCATTGCTGGTGGGAATACACCTCAAACCTGCCATGTCCAAGACCGAAGTAAACAGCAACTTTGATTAATGTCTGTCTCCCACACTACAGTGCACATTGCAGGTGGAGAGACTTTATTTTTACTCATAATTGGATTCTCAAAATATATCATGGTGCCTAGTATATAGGTATTTAATATTTGTTGAATGGATAAAACTTTAAGCATTGAACTAATAATTAGGAAATGGCATGATATAAAACAATTTAAAAATGCAATTCCTCTCATTCCCATCTGTATGAATATGAGACTTATTCCCCAAGCAGAGTTACTGGATTGCAGTTGGACACTTACCTTGAGATTACCCTGGCTACTGTTTTAGTTCTGGGTCTTTAGTTCAGTGTCATCTTCGACATTTAACTGAATTTATTGAACATTTCTAACTTGTCTAGTGCAATGATTCCTGTATCTGTTACTTCCCATTAATAAAATTCCATATACACTGTTCAATTTCTTGGTTGGAAAGTATTAAATACTTGATGCTCACAAGTGAGATAGGAGATGGAAGTCACAGGGATAGGGATGGGGCTGAGGGAATGGGGTAGTTTATCTCAGGGCTCATACTCCATGGATTCAAGTCCTCCTTTTGGTACTAGTTTTAAATGAGTTTAACACCTGAACCTGTTTCTGCATTTGCAAAAATAGACACGGTATTAAAAATACCTTTATTACAAATCTGTTGTGAGGATTATATGGGAAAATGTCTCTGAAATTACTTTTTAAACTGTAAAATGACACAAACGTACATAATTATTCCAATGTAAGTTTGGAGATAATCCTAAAATAGCAGTCGAAGTGTGGAGGAGGCAGTTTCTAGCAAAGAGAGTTTGTGGGCAAATATATTTTACAGTATATTTCGATTTTTGAATGAACAATGGAGCAAAGACAAACGTTTTCTTTAAAAAAAAAAGGAAATAGGAGCGCTTTTAAAATTTTATATTTAACCAACCCATTTAGAGTCTGTACTTCCACCACATTTCAGCTTCCAGGAAATCCTCAACTGGAGCTCCCTCATTGTCTCTCACTCTCCTCTCTAAGGCTCAGGCATTAACCTTACTAACTGCCTGGTTTCCTGCAGGTGGGCGGTTACTAACTGCCTGGTTTCCTACAGGCCAGATTTTACGTCAGCAGATTGTGGCGCAGCACCGCCACGTGTGTGCCCAATTGTGAGGTCCCACGCCCTCACCAGGATATAAAGCTGGACATCTGAGAGCATCCCAGTTGCACCAGGCAGTGTGGGAACTCTAGCATCCTGGACTGCAGCATCCCAAGTCCGGGAGGCTAGTGGCCCCCTGCTTCCCAACTGCCAGCTGAGTGCCTCCGTTCCGAGAAGAGAGAAGAGGGGGAAGAGGAGCCATGGACATCCTTTATATCCTACCGATCTGCGTTTTGATCGTCTTTCTGATTATCTACTGGAAATATGGGTTTGAGGTAAAGATGTATGAAAGAGAGAATGGAATTAGTTGAAGCTAGATGAGTATATGGCTTGGGGAGTGGGTAAGAGAGTAGAAAAATAGTAAAATAAAAGTTAAGGGGAGATCACCTCATTCCTCTTTTTCACTTGAAAGCGTCCCAGACTTTTATTCCTTACTCCCACAGTTCCATTTTGACCAGTAATTTCAACGGTTGTGATCTGTTGTAAAAAGCCCCAAGTCACTAAGTGATATGGTCAGCTTTTCACTCGCCTGGACAGAAGTGCAGCTAAGTGCCCATTCCCCATCATCACCTCTCACTTTGAGAATCTGTAGTTTCTCTCTTTTTCTTCTCTGCTATTCCCCTCACCATATGTCTGTTTCCTTCTCCTGCCGTCAGTATGGGAGCTTTCTGGGCATTCACAAATAATTCAGGGTAAATATAGATTTCCTGTCGTTATTTAAAGCCACAAGTGAAGTGCTTTTAGATAAGGTTCAAAGACAAAGTCCATATGTAGACCTACTAAACTGCCCAAGAAATGTAAACAAAGGATATGGCACTATGGCACTACAAATCTACTTTCATATATTTTTTTATTTCAGAATGTTACGGGGGTATAACGTTTTGGTTATATGTATTGATCTTGTACAGTTTGAATCAATGTTATAAGTGTGTCCATCACCCAGATAGTGTGAATTGTACACGTTAAGTGTGGATTTACCCCCCTCCCCCTTCTACCTGCTTGATTTTCATTGAGTTTTACTTCCATATGTGCATATAAGTGTTGATTGATTAGTTTCAGTTTAATAGTGAGTACATGTGGTATTTGTTTCTCCATTCCTGCAATACTTCACTTAGAAGAATGGTCTCCAGTTCTGTCTATGTTGTTACAAAAGGTATTAGTTCCCCATTTTTTTATGGCTGAGTAGTATGCCATAGTATACATATACCACATTTTATTAATCCACTCATGTATTGATGGGCACTTGGGTTGATCTTTCCTATATTTTTTAATCAGTCTGCGTTTTGGAAAAATATATTTATGAGTTGATGTAGTCATTCAACACATTTTTAATTTCTAGCTGTTTGGTGAAATCAGTTCATTTTGGTAACCAAGACTAACCAAGTTGTTATTTGGTAGTATTTGGAAATTGCTAAATTCAATAAACTAAATATGTATAATTTCCTTCCTTTACAGAGAAACGTTGGTGAAATAGCATCAAATTCAACTTCTCTCACACTAGTAAGAACCTCTTCTACTGGGTCAACTAAGAGCAATACTGATACGAGTCTTTCAGTCAACAATCTCTCTCGGGATATCTTAAATAATTTCCCACACGCAGTAGCCATGCAGAAGCGAATTTTCGTAAACCTCAGGATCGTGGAATACAAGCTGGCTGAACTGGAACATTTCCTAGTTATCAAGGGTTTAAATGGTGCATTAGTTAACCGGAAATCCACTGGAAAGCTTACGAGATGTAGTGACAGTGGAGGCAGTCATTAAAGACACTTTGAGTGCATTCGCTTGATTATGTGTTTATACCAAATGGATTATTATTTAAAAGGGGAAGGGATGGCAAGTCAGATACAAAAATCCAGATATTTATTTATTTGCTTATTCACATTTTATTTAAAGAATTGATTACATTATGCTAATATATATTTTACTGGGAGACGAATGGAAGCACAATAGAGAAGGAAATAGTTTAAAAGTTTTTAAAAATAAGCTACAGTAAAAATATAGTTGAGATATAATGATTTTAATTTCACTCAAGTGTGAAAAACAGTTTTCTCTAATGGTTTACAGTACAATACTGCAATTGTCTCCATGTTTCCATTAAAGTAAGTGGGATTTGATGGAACTCTTTTCCATTATGCATACTGTTTCTTGCCACTGTTGAATCTGTGTGATAATAAGAGCTATCATTGAGCACCCTACAATATGCTAAGCACTTCATTAAGATCTATGCTTTACACACTTGTGAAGATAATGACACAAACTCTTAACTACTCTTCATGGTCAGATTTTAAAAGGGATTTCTTCCCTTTCACACCTCCTCTCTCTCCCCAATTAGATATTCTTTCATTTAAAATGCCTAAATCTTCCCTGAATTGCAAGTCACCTATAGAAAATCGCATGCATTTTTCTATTTGGTGAAAAATCCACACCTCAGATAACACTAAAATATCATGGTAAAATGCATGTAACATATTGTGGATTAAAATTAAGAAAAAAGTCTTTCTAAGCTGTAGTTATCTATTTAAAATAATATTTTATAAAATCCAATAAAACTAAAGAAATAACAATCTCTTGAAGTTCACTGGCAGCATTAGACCTACCCTCAAAGAAAACCCTCAAAATATCAAACACAAGTTAATCTTTTACTTACACACACACACACACACACACACACACACACACACACACACCTCACTGAGATGGTTCAATTACAGGACTACCTATTTACCTTCCTTCATACTCCCTCCCCCCAATATAAATTACCAGTATACATTAAAGAAATGCCTTAATCCATTTACTCCTTTCATCTGCAATCAAAAGAAGAGGAAAAGGACTTTAAAATGTATAAGAAAAATTATTCCTCTGTTGTCACACATTTGCCAAGCACAAAAAGCCAGCAGTGGTATATGTGGTTCTTAAATGTTTTTGGGTCACAGGTCTCTTTAATATTCTGATGAAAATTATGGACTCTTTCTCTAGAAAAATGCATGTACACATAAACACAGAAAATGTTCCATATAATTTCCATTTCATATGTTCCCTGAATCCTAGATTAAGAACCTTAAGAATTGCTGAGAAGTTCCTTATATATGTAAGCAGTGTTTATCATCCTAGGCTGTGACATTTAAACCAATTGTCAATGATATATGATAAATGTATAAGGCTATCAGTGATATATTTCATTATCTTTTGTAAGAAAACTAGGACATAGTACTTTCTAATTTGGCTTCCCTCATTCTTGACAAGTTTGACAAGTTTATTTCTTAACAGTATGTAAATAAGTTATCACCCATAAGTAGTAACTTATTCACATAAGACAAAATCATCTTGATCTATTAGCCATGTATCACAACTATAAAATGCTAGATTTGATTAAAGCCATTTTCTCATTAACATTTTGGTCCATATTCTATTTGAAATACCTAATCAGATCAAAATAAAGCCTCCAATGTATTAGAAAAACATGGTAATATTTACAAAACTGTTATTGTGAAATAGAAACAGTTATATGTGTAGGTGTTATACAGATAGTCTAAAAAGAAATATAATAAGCACATTGCTAAACATTAATAGATTCACATTTTTATATTGCATTCCTGCTTAAATGGGAAAAAACTTATCACACTATTATGAATATAGTAATGAATATAGTATATACATTTTCTACTCAATTAACATACAAATAAATAAAATTTTCCCCTACTCTAAAAAAAATCACATTATATAACCATGTATCTTTTAAAATGAGATCTCATTCTGGGTTTCTACTGCCACTAACAGTAGGTATTTCATGGTCAGTCTCTTTAACAGGATCTATCATGTCTTTATATCTCTCCCCACGATGTTGTTTCAGGTATGGACCCCAGTTAGAAGCTGGTCTGCAGCAGCTTACAATGCGCTGAAAGCAAAAACAAAAAAATTTTTGTCTTAGAATTCAAGTATTATAATCTGTAAACAAGCACATATTAAACTATACTTTTATTTTAAAATTAAGTTTCTTTGCTAATGAAAATAATCATAGAAAAGTAAAAAGTGGTAATCTAAATTCTTAATAATATACAGTCTACATTAAAAATACAGAAATCTACAGAAAAAATTATAATCAAATTTAATTGTTAATAGAATTATATTAACTACTAAACCAAAATAATTTAGTATGTAACTGATTTCAAAAGAAGGTGAGTGGGCCCATTAGCGTAATAGTGTTGCTACTCCATATCCTTACTAAATTCTCAGGCATTTTCATCCCGGCATCAGGATGAAGGTGATGTAAAGATCTAAACCAGTGTGTATACTTAGGATGTGTTTCAAGAACTAAGGAAAGGGAGCTCCAGGGTCAAACCATTGATTTGTATGGACTTGAGAATTTATTTAAATCTAAGACTCCTAAACCTACCTCGTCATTGTCCTAGTGAGATGACATAATCAACTCTAGTCCCCTAGGCCTCTGTGGAAGGGGCATGACTCAGGGTCTAGATAGGGTTCAAGATAATTTAGCAGGCTAATTCCAGTCTAAATACACTATTAGGACATGTATTATAACCAGATGAAGTTTTAAATGTAGTAGTTATGGATATGAAGCAAAAAGGTCATTTGCTGTGTGACATCTTCAGGAATAACTCAGCATGGCTGAGATAGCATGGCTATTATTTGCTAAGCACTCTAATAAGGCCTGAGGATACAGCAACAAGCAAGATCAGACTTCTCCCACAAGGAGCTTATAGTCTAGTACTGGGAGACATGCAAATATATAAAGAGTATAATATGATGTTATGTACTAGTAATAGGTGATTGTATCAGGTATAGAAATAGACAAAAGAGTGATTAATTCTATCTCATATAATCTCATATTATCACCATATGAGTAAATTAATCTTTATTTTGTTAAGTACTTTGCAAAAAGTATAAAAAATTTAACTTAATGTGCTTACTTGAAAGATATTTCCTTTAGCCTGAATTATTTTTACAACAGCCATAATTGGAATCCAAATAATGCAGAAAATAATCATACACCAGCCTAGAGCCACTCCCCAGTCAGGGTATGGAATTTGAGCATACTTGGGTCTTTGAAATTGTACCAGTGACCAGATAAAAATTGCCTGTGAAAGTAAAATATGAAAAGACAAAACCAAATATTAGACTTTATTGCACTAATTATTCCAATTTGATTCCATTCCTTAGATGTAATTTATTAAGTATTGTTAAACTGAAAATACATTCAAGCAACTAAGATAATCAGGTAACAAGCCAGAAAATAACAATGAAATGAACCAAAGTAAATAACTTCTGTTTTTACTTTGAATAAATTCTTCCAAAATTTAATACCTTCATATATTCATAAAGATACAAATACTTGTTCAACATATATTTCAATAAAATATCTGATGATATGTCAGATTGAAAGTAAAATAATATCTGAAATTTTCTGTTATTGAGCTTTTAACTTTTATTTATTATAGTACCATGGTTTTATTCTATGCCACAAGCTAGGCAGCATATCAAAGCATGTCAAAGTAAAGGACACTTCACTACACTTTAGTGGACATGCTTCCCTCTTTGCTTAGTGATTGTTTCTATTATTTCCCACTGCACAGATCACCTCTTTTGCCACCTCAAAAATACACATGCATTAACACATACTACCAGTATATGTTTACCAAAGCACACTTCACTTTCAGACTGTTATTGAGGGAAAAAAAAGCTCAATATATGTTTAGATAATACAGTGAAATATGAATCTTAAAGATGAAAACACTTTAAGGCCAAGTTAAGTGTTAAAAAGACTTACTAGAAATGTTGGTGCGTTAAAACTAATTGCTTAAAAATCTGAAAAGAAAAACAAAACAAAAAAAAAACACAAAAATCACCTAGTAGTTTCCCTAATTTTAGCTGCCTTTGTTTTATAAAATTAATATGAAAACAATAGATTTTAAGAATCTTTGTAAATAGATATGCAGGTTTAATTTTAAAATGAAATAGATTAATTTCATTAATTCAATTTAATTCTAATAATTCAAACGTGTTTCCCAATTACTGTAATTGTACATAACTACAAGAGAATGAATAGTGGAGTCTAATATACATGACTTTATACAAAATAAATGACAATATTAATATTTAATACTTTTGTATTTTAAATTAAATTCAGGTGTCAAACCTATGTAATGAATGAAAATTAGCTAGTTAAGAAGTCTAGTTAGATCTTTTAAGTTGGTAAGGGGCTTATTTTATCATGGAGATTTGTTACATTAGAAAAATGATACTTAACAACACTTTCCAAGTAATTTAGCAAGAATACGGAGCATCCAAATATTTTAATTCAGCACATCTAGTCCCAAACTACCCATTACTTGAAACTGATCTCATAATGCTTTTTTAAAAAAGCTTAATATCCCCTAAAACCCGACAAATATGATACTTCAGATATGAAGCAAATCCTAGATCAAGTTACTTAATGGTCTTTTCTAGGAAAACATTTGTAGTATAAAGTCAATGAAAACGAAAATACATTGGTTTGGGGCTCTGCCACTGCCCCACCCCCGCCATTATCTCTACTTTGTAGTCATTCTCCAGCCCGTGAAGTGTTTATTTTGGCACTTGGCCATTTAGTGTCCTGAACTATTATTTGATTTCATGTCTGTGTCACGTCTCTCCAGTAAGACATCTTTTGCTTTCCCTCAGCTCCTAAATAGTACCAATTGTTGAATTTATTAACATGAACCGTTGCCTCTACTGCCTCTATTGACACAGGTGAGTTTCTTTTAGTAATTTCAGACACTAAATACCTCCCCCATAAAGATAAAAAATACACATTAAAAGATGAGCATTGTTTCTCAGCAATCAGTATATTTAAACTAAGTTCCATGAAGGTAGGATCTGGGCCTTATGCATCATTGTATTTTCTATACATGGCAAAAAGATTAGGAACATTATTGATGGCTCAGTATAATTTTAGGGAATGAGCAAATTCATTATTTTCATTCGCTCTATTGATAATTTTTAAATTATTAACTTTTAATCTATAGCAACCTGTTTATTTTCTCAAATGGTAAATGTTTAAACCCATGGTCCCCAAAATAATACTGCAAAGGCATTTTAATTTAGGCGACTTGGAGGCACCAACCATAAATACTGCAAAACTTGAAAATCCTCCATTTATGGCATTAATTTGCCTTTTGTCTCCAGTGTGAATTATGTGTTTAAATGTATATATTACTGATACCAAATTCATGGTATATTAATACTTACAATCAAAAGGATAGGCGTAATGACAAACCAGCAAGTTCTCCACCATAGCCAGAATATCCACCTCTTTGTTCCAATCATCATTTCTATGTCTTCAATGAATCTGTTCCCTCCTAAAGAAAACATCAAAGAGTACAATGAGTGCTTGCTCATATTTTCCTCCAAAAATTATTGTGACCCCAATTCTTTCTATGTCTAAACATTTTCCTATACCACAACGAAGCATACACCTGCAACTACATTTTTTTCATAATATATTTTTGCCCAGTATATTCTACTTTACTGTTATCATAGTGTGATTATTAATAGTATAATTAGATAAACACAATGAAAAGGAATCAAACTAAACTATTTTAATAAAACTTGCAAATAATTATTATAGTCACCATTTACCATAAATCCAGATGATTCCTACTACTTCCAGTATAGCTGCAATC